TCTCTATGATACAACCACTTCTTACTCGTTCAACAGTATAGCCATCCTCGATAATCTCCGGGGTATACGTTCAGATAAATCTCCACTATACCCTGGATGCATCCACGGCTCGAGACGATGATTTTATTACCTACCTTGGCTGGCTTTTTATCCAATCAGGTGTCTACGCTGGGAAGGTGAACGTACCAATCACAACTCATGTTCGCTTTTTAAATTATCTAACCGATTAAACTTGGCAACACAATAATATATTGTTGCAGATAGCCTCCAAAAGAGGTAGAAGGAGTTCTTGCATATATTCTTTTTAAGATTTCAGACCTGTCAATTTGTCTGTTTGTTTTTCCCCAAAATTTGAGTCGCACTGCGAACAAAGCTGCGACTGCTATCTTTGTTGACACTGGCAAGCTCGGTTGTAACGGCGGCTTATCTGATTGGCTACTGTGAGAATGCAGAGCCAGCAAAGGGAGGTAATAAAATTATTGACTCGAGCCGTAGATGCATCCAGGGTATAGTGGAGATTTATCGGAAGGTATACCCTGGAGATTATCGAGGATGCAGTATAGCGTAGTACTGAGATTAGTGAGAAACTTTCTACTTCGACTTTAAGCAGAGACTGGTAGTCACCATGGTGATGCCTGGCAACAAAGAAGCAGTTTTTTCCATTTACTTGTTTAGTCTACCAAGCTTGGGTGGGGAGGTTTGCTATAGTAAGAACAACAGGAAACCAGCCTCAAAATTTTGTCCACCAGAATCAAACCCAGAACTGCAGATAGATGAATTACACACACCAACCACTGGCCTTCAAGGACTAAACATATTACAGCCATATAAACTAGTGCCCAGTGTGAGTATTTAGTGCATTTTCTGAGTATCTACAGTGAGTACTTATTGTAAGTACCTATCACGAATACGAGAGGTATCTATTGCAAGTACCATAGGCATCTATTGCAAGTACCAAAGATATCTATTGCACGTACCAAAGGTATCTATTGTGAGTACCATAGGTATCTATTGCAAGTACCAAAGGTATCTATTGTGAGTACCAAAGGTATCTATTGCAAGTACCATAGGCATCTATTGCAAGTACCAAAGGTATCTAATGCAAGTACCAAACTATTGTGAGTACCATAGTTATCTATTGCGAGTACCAAAGGTATCTATTGCAAGTACCAAACTATTGTGAGTACCATAGCTATCTATTGTGAGTACCAAAGGTATCTATTGCGAGTACCAAAGGTATTTATTGAAAGTACCAAAGGTATCTATTGCAAGTACCAAACTATTGTGAGTACCATAGCTATCTATTGTGAGTACCAAAGGTATCTATTGCAAGTACCAAAGGTATCTATTGCAAGTACCAAAGGTATCTATTGCAAGTACCAAACTATTGTGAGTACCATGAATACCTGTTGCAAGCACTCTGAGTACTACAAGTATCTAATGTCCACACTGCATTCAACAGAAAAACAGCATCCATAAGTCCAGCAGCATATGTACAATTGGTAAGGAGCAAGCAAATGATCTCACAACTGAAGTAATGAGAGAAAGAAACACTGACAAGATCACATATCACCACCATCCAATTGGTGCCATTACTGCTCTGCAAAACGTTGGAGTATATTTTTTATTGGTTTCATTCATCAGAATAAACAACGCTTCTTCCCCAGATTATGTGGCAAAGTTCTGCAACACCACCAGCCATTTGATAAATGTGGTGGCTTTCCAGTTTTTGAGGCCGAAGTTTGGGCAAACAGGAAGTTCTAATTGCCTGATGCAACCTGGGTAATCCTGACTTCAGATATACAGTGTTGACCGCAGAAACCTTGCAAGTCTTGGGGAACAAACTTAACAATATGTTTTGTGATCACTGCTGGAATGTTTCATACATCATCTCATCAACACATTTGTGTTTTGTGTGTATCATTCATCAACACATTTGTGTTTTGTGTGTATCATTCATCAACACATTTGTGTTTTGTGTGTATCATTCATCAACACGTTTGTGTTTTGTGTGTATCATTCATCAACACATTTGTGTTTTGTGTGTATCATTCATCAACACATTTGTGTTTTGTGTGTACCATTCATCAACACATTTGTGTTTTGTGTGTACCATTCATCAACACGTTTGTGTTTTGTGTGTACCATTCATCAACACGTTTGTGTTTTGTGTGTATCATTCATCAACACGTTTGTGTTTTGTGTGTATCATTCATCAACACGCGTTTGTGTTTTGTGTGTATCATTCATCAACACGCGTTTGTGTTTTGTGTGTATCATTCATCAACACGTTTGTGTTTTGTGTGTATCATTCATCAACACGTTTGTGTTTTGTGTGTATCATTCATCAACACGTTTGTGTTTTGTGTGTATCATTCATCAACACATTTGTGTTTTGTGTGTATCATTCATCAACACATTTGTGTTTTGTGTGTATCATTCATCAACACATTTGTGTTTTGTGTGTATCATTCATCAACACATTTGTGTTTTGTGTGTATCATTCATCAACACATTTGTGTTTTGTGTGTATCATTCATCAACACATTTGTGTTTTGTGTGTATCATTCATCAACACATTTGTGTTTTGTGTGTATCATTCATCAACAAGGGTAGAAACATGGAACAGTCTCTGTACCAGAAACAGAAGATAATGCTAATATATACTCCATGTTGCCACAGTGAAGGAGTTTAATGCTTAATGCAGATTTGAGCACATGTTGAAAACTGTTTGGGGTTCAAGAAGAACCAAACATAAGACACTTGCTGAGTTCATGGCTCCAAAGAACCTGAAAATGTGACACGGTTACCAAGGTTACAACAATGACGAGGCTGTTAGAGGAAGCATTCCAGAATTGCTGGCAGACAACAGAAAATTTGCAATGAATATTGTCACGACCATCTGTTGCTTTCACAGACAGTTCAATGATACTGGGAAATATTCTATTTTCAACTTGATGACTACAACGCCTCCAGAGAGAGCCACCATGGAGAATGAAAGATCACAAAAGAGTTTATTCGTAATATCACAGCACATCAGTGTAATGTGAAAGGAATGAAAAAAGACATGTGTTAAGAATTTCATATCAATTTGGGGAAAATCATATACATATGGTGCTGACAGACCCTGGGTCATATTCGGTGCAAATATGGGATTCAAACTCAGGATCAGCCGATGGAAAACTCACGTTGTCTTCAAGAACCCGTTCTGATTCCAGCTTAACAGAGAACTCAAGGAAACCATCCATACTGTCAGCCCTAGATCAGAATACACAACTGATAGGAAGACCAATCACGTGCTCTGTAAACACAGCTGTCTGAAAACATGCACCATGTGTTAACTAGCACAGGGAATCCTTGATATGTAGATATCAAGACAGATGGACAAATATGATACAAGGTATAGAAGAATGGCCTAAGATGGAATCTGCCGGAACACCAAGTATCTGAACAACTGAGCAATAAATGGGACAAAACTTATTTCTATGTGAAATATTTGAACAGGCTAAGCTGGTCAGCTCTTTAAGTGTCCACACACCTGGAAACTTTGTCATGCCAGTGCCATCGTACCCCACCCTATCTGTAATTGGCCATCCTATTGTCCTCCAGGTATCTGAGCAGGTAACACAGGCCAGGTGAGATGCTCACGTGAGGTATGCTCCTCAGGTAAACATCACAATGTGCTGAAACATTATCTCATCATGGTTGGTGGCTGCAACATTGTCAGCAGCTGTGAGGAATATCACAGAAGGAGAGGGGAGCGGAAGTGACGAAGGATCTAATGTCACCTTCAACATTGTTTGACTTATAATTAGCATGAATACACAATGTCATTTAGTTAGTGGTCAAATGTAACACAAGTTACATTTGGGATTACACTTTCTCAGAAAAGTAGTGATTCTTACTCCGGGATTTGAACCCACTGTCACTCTCCGAGTCAGGTTCTTAATCACCAGCATATCAGTAGTGAGTGAATTTAGTTTTACGCCACACTCAGCAATATTCCAGCTATATGGCGACAGTCTGTTAAATCGAGTCTGGACCAGACAATCCAGTGATCAACCGTAACATTGTAGCAGCAACAATGTCAAAACCGTCATGCAACCAATAGGACCATGACAGCAACATTGCTGTAACATTGTACCAGCAACGATGTCATGACAACATTGTTGTGCTGTGACCAATATGACAATGCCAGCAACAGCATCGCAATGTTGTACCAGCAACAATGTCATGACAACATTGTTGTGCTGTGACCAATATGACTATGCCAGCAACAGCACCGCAATGTTGTACCAGCAACAATGTCATGACAACATTGTTGTGCTGTGACCAATATGACAATGTCAGCAACAGCACCGCAATGTTGTACCAGCAACAATGTAATGACAACATTGTTGTGCTGTGACCAATATGACAATGTCAGCAACAGCACCGCAATGTTGTACCAGCAACAATGTCATGACAACATTGTTGTGCTGTGACCAATATGACAATGCCAGCAACATCGCCGCAATGTTGTACCAGCAACAATGTCATGACAACATTGTTGTTCTGTCACCAATATGACTATGCCAGCAACATCACCGCAATGTTGTACCAGCAACAATGTCATGTCAAAATTATCATGCTGGCAACAATATGACAATGTCAGCAACATTGTCATACCACCAACACTGTCAACATTCGGTCATGTCAAGAACCAACTGTGACGGACATTATGCTCCAAAACAGACTAGCTACATTCTCATCACACTCACCTTGATATACGACACAATAACTGTCACAATGTTTAATTATCCTGACTCAGCCGGTAATAAAGTAGCAGATGATTTATGCTCCCCATAACACCACAACTACAGGAAACCGTCCCAGCACAGCTGACCCTTTTGTTTTAACTTGTCACTGTACATGGGAAAAATATTTATCATTGCCATTAAAACAATACATAAATGACACAAAAACAAATTAAAGGACAATGAACAAAAAAAAGCACTTACATTTATGTCATTAGACGTGTCCGATGGCGGTACAATTTTCCCAATCTTTCTCTCCTCATGCTGCAAAACAAAGCATGCAGAGTAAGCAAAATAAAGCATGCAAGTCATGCAAGTCAATAATCAGCATAATCGTTAAAGTAATGAAGCGAATTACACAAACATGAAGGGCAAGGTCACCATGCCATGTGCAACGGTGTATACACAAGGGTTGATGAGGACCAGGGTTGAATATAGGAGTCGAGTTTAAAGTTATGAATATTGATAACTCCCCAGGAGGTATAAGATACAATTCCTATTACCATGATCACAGTTTGTTATCCTTTATTATCTGTTTAGAAGGGAATAATCTCATAGTTTTGTCTTTTGATTCCGTCTCACTGAGCATTGAGATTGCAAACTGGTGTATCACATCTCAGGTTGATGAAAAGAAACTACAGTCTTTATATTCATCATCCATAGACTTGAGACAACATGGACATTAACCCTCTGGTTCAGCCTGGTACTGATGCACTGTTATATTTTCTGAATATTCCTATATAAGACGTAATAACCTTTACAAATGTGTGTGTGTGTGTGTGTGTGTGTGTGTGTGTGTGTGTGTGTGTGTGTGTGTGTGTGTGTGTGTGTGTGTGTGTGTGTGTGTGTGTGTGTGTGTCTGTCTGTGTGTGTGTGTCTGTGCCTGCGTGTGCATGCATGTGTGTATGAATGCTTTTGCTACTAAAGTCATAATAATCATTAAAAAGACATATAATACGATGTACAGTATATCAATACTTGAAATATACGGTTATTTTTAATACATTGAACCCTGAATGTCCATTCCCCAGATATCCATAATGCAAGGTTTCCAGACAATATTTTCGTGAAATGAAATATTTACAGTACTACATAAAACGCTAAACTGTTCTAGATCCAGACAGTGAACTTCAATTACTTCAATTACCAACAATGGAAAATACACAATATGACCCACACACTGGACAATACCCACGGTGAACAATGTTTGTTTTGCAATGCAATGTGCAAGGTGCAGCTATCATGTGACCTGTGTTAATCTACTCATGTCATTACAGTTGTGATACTGTTCATCGTATCTCTGGACTTCCATTTGTAATCAGTTTTATCAATATCATTCAAACTTTTTTTTACATATTTTTTACATTAATTTCTGGAAAATTATAAATCACTATATTGACACCAAACACACTTAGCATATTACCTCTATGTAAGCCTTGAAACAAACTTTAGTTGATAATGGACAAATATATCGTAAATATAACACTTTGACTCATATTTGTTGAAGCATGACAAAAACATTTCAACATAAAGTTTTCGTATTAGAAATAGCAGGGCCAAAGGAAATCTGAATGATGACTGATTAAGCTGTGCGGTACGTCAAGACAGCAATCAGTTGTACCATGGTGGTATGCTTATCATGCTTATAGTAATTTCATACATTTGTATAGACACTGCATCTACAATAACACTATATTAGAATATATTATTCCTTATTTCAAATTTAGAGTTTCAGATTCCGGCCATTGTGTCAAACTTCCTTATATTACGGGGATATTTTTAACCTGAATTACCGGTGCATTAGGAAAAAAACATGTGTCCAACTGATCGCTATTTCCAGCTTAGTTTGTCTCAAATTTCACATTCATAATGACCAAACTGTCATATCCTGCTCATTCAAATGAAATCGCTGAATGGATACATGGTTTTTGACTGAGAGGAATATACAAATAATCTTTTGTATGGTATAACAGAGTGTTGCTAACACCCAAAAGTTCATTATCAGATCAGCCTGGTGGTTTAAGTATTAGCTTGTCATGCTGAAGACCCAGGTTTAATTCCCCACATGGGTACAACGTGTAAAGGGTACAACGTGTGAAAAGTACAATGTGTGAAGCCTATTTCTGGTGTATGCAACCATGATATTGATGGTATTTAGCTAAAAAAAAAAGAGTGGTAAAACCTTACTCACTCACTCACTCACTAAAGACTGAATATGAGGTGAAAGGTTTATAGTGTGCGTGTCAGCTCATACAGGCCAGGACTGACGATTAACATCTATACTCCACTCCAAACAGTTTTGTTTAATCCACATTGTATTTGATCGACAGTCAAGACAATAACTAGTCTGTCTCACAGTCCCTGAACCACATTATTTTCCCTACTGCCTAGCCTTCCCTGCAATGCTAAAGCCCTAAATGAAGCAAGTCGAGAATTTCCCACCACACTGGGGTTCCTTTTCAACTTAAATGGGTTGATGTGTTACTATAAAAATTATATATATTCAGACACTAAGTGTTAGCCTAGATAATAACAAGTGCCATCTTTTAACATCCTTTGGTATGACACGACATGACCGAGGGTTGAACCACCTTATGTTTACTCTTGGTGCAGACTCCGTAGACCAAGTCTAAACATGTACGGGTCCCCAGATTCAAATGCTTCAACAGAGAACACTGCAGGACCACTGTAATTTTGAACACTGTTGTGTAAATAAAGTCCTTGAATGTAGCATGCTGTTATCATGTTCCTGGGTTCAACCGCTGACACCACTTTGACAGCATTTGTGTCGTAAATCCCCATCACTAGGAGCTCTGCGTGAGACATACAAAGATGTACACCACTTGGTGAGATCACAGGTCTGGTGTCGACAGGTCACGGTGAGATCATGGGTCTGGTGTCGACAGGTCAAGGGTCATATACATCGTGAGATTCAAACCCACAAGGCTGATCCCATTGTTGCACCGTAAACCACTTGGACACCCACATCCAACAACTTCACAAGTGAGCAAAACCTTGTTAATGTGGACCTATTTGGACAAGGACATCCCACAAGACGTTTATGGATTCAAATAGAGCTCGAGATTTACTAACTAGTCAAAGTTACAATCTAGGGTCAACACACACTAACTCAGGCCTGACATTCACTAACTAGTCAAAGTTACAATCTAGGGTCAACACACACTAACTCAGGCCTGACATTCACTAACTAGACCTGACACTAACTAACCATAGTCGACAATTACTAACTAGGGCCAAAACTCACCAACTAGGGCCTGACATTTACAAACTAGAGGGGCGTTGGGGTGGCCTAGTTGTGCAAGCATTTGCTTGTCACACCAAAGACCAAGATTCTATTCCCCACATGCGTACAATGTGTGAAGCCCATTTCCGGTGTCCAAACCGTGGTTGTGCTGGGATATTGCTAAAAGCAGCGTAAAACTAAACTCACTCACAACTAACTAAAGCTGACACACACCAACTTAAATTGATTGACACTAACTAACTAAGGGCCAACACCTACGAACTAGGGGCTGACATTTACTGACTAGAGCTGACACTCAGAGACTAGGGCTGATACCCACTATCAGGGTCGGGACAATAATGTAGATGAATATATCCCCCTGGAAGCCAATCCATCATGCCAACCCACTTCTATTGTTATGAATAAACAAATACTCCACCACATTGTTCATTAAACATTTGTTGAGCCCAAAATAGATTTATGACAGGCTTCGAGAATGTCAGTCATGTGACAAGTCTGTTGAAGGCATCGCCTTGAGGGCAAAAGCAACTGATTTCTGGAAAGTTTTCTTTTTCTTATTTTGATGGTAGAATAAATTATTATCACCCAAGGATACCCAGGGATAAATAAAGTATCTTCAAATAGAGTGAGGATGTCCATATGCCACTGTCCTTTGGAATATAAGCATGATAACAGTGCTAAGCAGAATAAAACTTTCAACCAAATAAGAAAACAGATTGTTTGTTCTTTAAAAGATTAAGTGTGTTTCAATGTTCATCAGTTTCAACTTGTTTGTTCAGTTTGCATGTAGAACGTTAATGTCACACTGCCTACACAGAATACAAATATTTTCAGTTTTTAAACTGTCATTTCAAAGTGTACCCTTAAGGTACATTGAATTATTTTTTGTTGATCCACATAGTTTTACAGCTAATGGTATTTTCCATACCAGTGGGGTTACCATGGTCACAAGTTTCAAACTTCTGCCTGGCAGACATAGTGATGCTGTCGGAGACAAATGGCAACAGGATATTCATTAATTTATGAACTTTTAAAGGAAGTTTCTTCCATACCATTACCAATTTTTCATAAATGTTTAGGGCATTTTCAGTGGCAATCGATGTCCAAGGAAATGAACCAATATAAATATCTGCAGATATTTTTGTTTTATATTCTGGCAATTGTGATGAACAAGCCAATGATGATGTTCAGTGCTTCGTCAGAGACAAAGTTAAATATATGAGATCATTTTGCATATCTAATCTCAACCTGTACCCAAATAGCCTCTTTGACTGAAAATTCAAATTAAACAAACTTTCAAATGTCAATTGTCTCTGATGTATGATATATATCGAGAAAGAGAATATATCAACCAATGCTAGTAAGTCACTTCCTAGCAACAGACACAAGCAGCGAATCGCAGCAACTCAGTAATCTCATTCTTGTGTAAATATGACATTTATTCAACATCTAGTCAATGCTCTTGTTCCTTATCAGTTTGTATCAGACATGCACAAGACATCTGTCAATGAGACCAGTGAGACAGCATAAGAAATATTCTTTCAGTAATTTTTACATTCTATCCATGGGTTGTCACCCTAACATTTAATTGACAAGAAAGCACTAACCTACCTGCTTAGAACAGTCACTTTTATGTTAACAGACATTATCTGAATGATTAACTGTTTTTAATTGTAATGCCATGGCAAAAAAATTAAAACTTAAGCTTTAGGCAGCTTACCATTATCAAATACAAGTTTGTATTCATAGGTACAAAGCTGTCTCCAATGCATTAAAATATAAATATTGATGATTCTTTTTGACAAGTTACCATGGTTACAAATAAGATGACATTTGATCATGATTGATCAGTTACATTTCCATGGTAACCAGAAACAAAAATAAATATATTTTAGGTCTATCATTTATCATGTTTAATAATATTTAGTTGACAGAGAAAAAGAACTGCTTTTATACACTATTTCTAAAAAAAATATTTGATACCAAACTCCTCGGTTGG